GCTGCAGTGGTTTTCGTACTAAAGTTTTGGAGGAATTATTTGTACGGGTCGAGATTCGAAGTGTTCAGTGACCATAAGAGTTTGAAATATCTGTTTAACCAGAAAGAATTAAATGTGAGGCAGCGAAAATGGCTGGAATTTCTGAAAGACTATGACTTTAGCTTGAGTTACCATCCCGGTAAAGCTAACATCGTGGAAAATGCTTTGAGTCGGAAGATGATACATATGTCGACGTTGATGATTAGAGAATTGGATTTGATTGAGCAGTTTAGAGACTTGAGTATGGTTTGTGAGTTAACTTTAGAAAGTGTAATGTTGGGGATGCTGAAAGTGAATAATGAGTTCTTTCATGAAATAAGAAAAGGTCAGAAACTGGATTTGAAATTGGTAGACTTGATGACCGTAGGCGGAACGGATAAGGAAGAAGACTTTAAAGTAGATGATTCTGATGTGCTGAAGTTCAGAGACAGAATTCACGTGCCAGATAATCCTGATTTGAAAAAGGTAATTTTGCAAGAAAGCCACAGGAGTAGTTTGAGTATTCATCCAGGAGCTACAAAAATGTATCAAGACCTGGAGAAATTATTTTGGTGGTCGGGTATGAAGAAAGACATAGCTTGGTTTATGTATGCTTGTTTGACTTGTCAGAAGTCAAAGGTGGAACACCAGAAACCATCCGGTTTGATGCAACCGATGGAAATACCAGAGTGGAACTGGGATAGTATTGCAATGGATTTTGTGATTGGATTGCCAAATACGGCAAGAGGTTTTGACGCAATTTGGGTAATTGTGGATAAATTGACGAAGTCGGCACATTTTATACCGATTAACATCCGTTTTCCTTTGACGAAGTTAGCAGAAATTTATATCAGAGTGATAGTGAAGTTACACTGGGTTCCGTCGTGCATTGTATCTGACAGAGACCCGAGGTTTACTTCTGGATTTTTGAAAAGCTCGCAAGAAGCTTTGGGTTCCAGTTTGAAATTGAGTTCTGCTTATCACCCGCAGACCGATGGTCAATCTGAGAGGACTATTCGGTCATTGGAAGATTTTTGAGAGCTTGTATACTCGAGCAGAGAGGCGCTTGGGATACTCATTTATCGCTGATTGAACTTACCTACAACAACAATTATCATTCTAGTATTGAAATGGCACCTTTTAAAGCATTGTATGGTAGAAGGTGTAGAACACCTCTATGTTGGTATGAGTCGGGTGAGAGTATGGTACTCAGACCCGAGATTGTGCAACAGACCATAGAGGTGATCCAGATGATTAGGGAGAAAATGAAGATGGCCCAAAGTAGGCAGAAAAGCTACCATGATAATAGGAAGAAAGACTTGGAATTCAGCGAGGGTGACCATGTATTTCTTAGAGTCAATCCAGTGACCGGTGTTGGTTGTGCGTTAAAATCAAAGAAATTGGATCCTAAGTTCATTGGACCGTATCAGATTCTGCAGAGGGACGTTGGAGCAGTTGCCTATAGAGTGGCGTTGCCACCCAAACTTTTAAATCTGCATGACATGTTTCATGTATCGCAACTTCGAAAGTATGTTGTTGATCTATCTCATGTGCTTCAGAGAGGTGAATTGCAAGTTCGAGATAACCTTACGGTGGAGGTGATGCCATTGAGAATCGAAGACCGCAAGATGAAACAACTAAGAGGGAAAGATATCCCGTTGGTGAGAATAGCTTGGGGAGGAGCTGCTGGAGAAAGTGTGACCTGGGAATTAAAGAGCAAGATGCAAGAGTCGTATCCGGAATTGTTCTTATCAGGTATATTTCGAGGACGAAAATATTTTAAGTGGGGGAGAGTTGTAACACCCCATTTAAATTATTTAGTCATTTTATACTTTGTTGTGCATGTATTGGTTGTGATGTCCTTAATAAGGGTATGATATTAGGGGCGAGAGTGAGAGTTGACCTTAGTTGGGGTAAAGTGGACCTATAATAAATAATATTAATGATTAATGATAATAATAAGAATATTATGCTCATTGGTATTATTATTTTATGCTATTAATAATAATATTAATGAGATGGTAGTGGTTGTTATTATTATTATTATTATTATTATTATTATTATTATTATTATTATTATTATTATTATTATTATTATTAGTAATTAGAATAATAAAACTGAAAATATAATTAAGGGGGATTAGAAGTGGTTTTGTGGGGAATCATTTACTAATCGTGAAAAAGGAAGAGACCGGGAAAAGAAAGCTAGAGCAGAGGAACCAAGAAATTCTCCATTGTTACCAAGAGAAGGCTTCAATCTAAGGTAAGAGGGGTGAATGGATTTCAATATGGGTGAATTAACATGAGAGGGTAGTGAGAGGTCCTTTCTCTCATAGGATTCATGTATTTCTTCTTCTTTTATCTAACTTTCGTAATATAGTGCTTTTCTCTGTAAATGGCTGTGTTGCTGAATAATTATTGTGTGATGTATGTGTAAATGAATCTGAGATCAATATGAAATTCGAGTGGAATCGATTGATGTTGTGGTATGATTCTGGCAGGTAACAGATCTAGGAAATAAGGGGTTGAGGGTTAACGAAATTGAACCTTACAAGATAGAAATCTTAAGATAATAATGGATAGATGAAGTATAGTGGAGGTAGAGAGAAACGATTAACAAAAAACTGAATTTTGGGTTGATTTGAGTGGTAAAATGAAGAGTATTGAGTGAGGATTCGTGAAAGGGATGAAATATGAGTTTTTGGCAGCGATTTTGGTGATACGCGTATGGGATAGGGCAATACACGTAACAGATAGGGCAATACGCGTATGGTGGGCCTGACAGCAGGGCATTACGCGTAATAGATAGGACAATATGCGTATGGTGGGCCTGACAGCAAGGCATTACGCGTAACAGGCAGGGAAATACGCGTATGGGCAGGCCTAGGATGACTTTTTCCCATTTTCGCGATTTCTGCCCAGATTTCGCTTGAAACGCAATTCCGTTTAATCGGTAGGATTAATATGACTTAAATGAACATAAGGAATATTAGTAATGAATTTAATTAGAGATAATATGGAAAATTACGTTTTTGCCCTTAAGGATGTGATTGATATGTGTGGGTCAGGACCGTCCAGTGTGGACGATATGGTGTGATGATGGTAATTCCCGAGAGGATTACAGTGAGCGGATGGCTCGTGTGGATCATTGATGACCGTGAATTATGCTTGAAATTATTATTATATTTGCATAATGGTGTTGTCATGCATTTTATGTCATGTGTCTTGTGGAGATGACTAGGTGGGAATCCATGATGGGTGCCTAGTTCATCCGGACTTCATGTGGAAGTCGTTGTGGAGATAAGTTGTAGTTCAGAGGAACGTATACGACTTATCCGGATTCCGACGGGAATCGGGTTCTAGGGTGAACCGTATGTATTTGTGTTGGTACCACATGCATTGTGTCGAGTCAGTGAGTTACATTAAATATTTGTATTTTATTATGGGCTATTAATGCCAGTGATTGAGATGACACGTGTATGTGTGTTGCATGTGTATGATTGTATGTATGGTGTGCAACTACTCCTTATCATGTGTATTTTCACCGCTTATTTATTGAATGTAGATCTCACCCTTTTTCTGTTTGTTGCGTCTGTGCTCCTTGGTGAGTGCAGATGACCAGGTACCTGAGTAGTGCTTGAAGTGTGTTGCTATTTGATCGAGTCATAGGAGTCGCTCTGATACGTAACATGGGATGACTGGAGTACATTATATTTTGCTTATTTTCTTGATTGATTGTTATGTATCTTTTATCTGTTGGATTAATGATGTATAACCACCGGTTGTGGGGATTATGTTTAAACATTGATTTTATTCCGCTGTTTTATTGAATGACCTTGTTGAAATATTGCGGAATGCATGAAGTGATTTGATACTTCGTTGAATGAGAAAAATGTCTATGTGACATCCTACGTGTTTTGAAAACTCTGATGTATTTTCTTTAATATTCCTATAATACGCGTACGGGGTAGTGTAGGGTGTTACAAAGACGAACCCAACATCTCTTTCATTGTGTTCTTCATAATAATCTAGAGCTGTTGGTCATCTTTTTGCTCATGGATGACACGGTTTGCAGAGGCAAAACCAAGATTGGTGAAACTCAAGAGACGAACAGGAAACACAGTCACAACTTCAACCTGCCATATCCTCTATGAGTAGGTCCTAATTTGAAGATGAGGAATTTAAACCATCTCATAGGAAACCACCTTCGTTGAAGCCAGAAAAATCCTCTGAAGAAGAGTCACGTCGGAATCCTAGCCCAAGCCCCAAATCACCAAACTCTAGAAGAGGAAAAAGACATGTGAGTGCATTTTTAATAAATATTTTGTTTGAAATTAAAAAAAATTGAAAAAGTTGATTGTGAACTTTATTTTTTGAATAAATTAATTTTTTCTTAAATATTATTTTTATGTATTATTTTTTTTTTGTATGAGAAAATTATGGATAAATTTTTTTGAGGAATATTTTATTTTTGTAAAAAGAAAAAATTTTAATTTGAGAAAAAAATAAATTTTTTTTTTTGAATTTGATAAAATAAGTAAAAATGTTGATGCTTATACCAAATTTTAATTTTGGGAGCTATTTGTGGGAAAAAAAGATTTTAAATTTTTTTAATAGATAAATATGATTTTTTTTCTAAAAAATCATATATTTTTTTGTATGGAAAATAAATATCTATATTGGGAAAAAAATGCACAAAAAAGGTGACAAATTTGAAATCTATGACTCGACTTTAATTTTAGGTGCTAGCTTATTTTTTTTGATGGAAAAATATTAATTTTAAAAATTTGCATATTTTAGATTTTTTTAAATGTGGGAAAATATAATTTTTACATGGAAGAAATATGCTGTAGGAAACAATAGACATTGTGTTTTGAATTAAAAATAGAGAGGATGAATGTTGAAAAAGACTAAAAATTTGACAACTTTATTTAACCCCTACTCAACACTCTCAGAGTCTCACCCTTTACTATCCCAAACTCATGGCAGAGTTCAACAAAGATATCAAAATCATCGCCGGCGCCGGTGCTGATGATAACAGCATTGCCCTCAAAGATGCGTTAATCTCCCACCTCCGCTCACTCAACATCCAAGTCGAAGATCTCGGAAACTCTTCTTATTACTCCATCAGCGCCGAAGTCGGCCGTCGAGTTTCTCAATCTTTATCTTCCTCCCCGGAGATCCGCGGTCTAGTTGCCTGTGGAACTGGTGCTGGCGTCTCCATCTTCGCCAACAAGTTCCCCGGCGTGTTCGCCACCACCTGTCTTACTCCATCTGAAGCTGTCAACGCCCGTTCTATCAACAACTCAAACGTCCTTGCTGTCTCCGGTTATTTTACTTCAAAGGAAACAGCTATCGAGATCATAGATGCGTGGTTGAGTACACCATTCAAATCTCCCTGTCCAGCAAACGACAACAAAGTGTGGCCAGAGGAGGTGGAGAAGTTTCTAGACAAGTCTCTGGTTGAAATGCCGGAAATCGGAAAGGGAGACGCGGTTAACAAGTGTGCAATATGCTGTTTGGCTAAGAACAGGGAGCTGAAGGCAGTGGACTTGATTCCAGGCGGGTCAATGAAGATTGTTAGGGAGAGTCCAACTTCGGGGTTTGTGAGATTCAAGGCGGGGAGCGTGGAGCCAGCACATCACCACACGTTTGGGCACGATTTGGTAGTGATTGAAGGGAAGAAGAGTGTTTGGAATGTGACAAAAGAGGAGAGGTATGATCTAAGTGTTGGGGATTACTTGTCTATTCCGGGTGGTGATGTGCATAGAGTGAAGTATCATGAGGACACTGAGTTCTTTGTCAAGTGGGATGGTCAGTTTGATATATTTTTTGAGGAGGATCTTGATGCTGCCAATCTTGCATAGACTCAAGTATCATGAGGTTCTTTGTGGGTTTCACTTGTCATACTTGTTTGTGTCAATTCTCCTATGTTATCTTACGGTGTGTTTGTGTTAAGTCTAAAACATAAACGGGTAGGGAATAACTACAAGTCACTACCCATTTTTATTACAAGATTAATAAATAACTTATTATGAAATATAACGGTCCTTATGGATTTACTTTTGAATAGAAATATCATGCTTCAATCACTTTGCTGCTGCATATTTAGTGTTTCAGAAAATGCAAATTGAAATATTTTATCATAATTACTTTACTCCTACATGTTTTATACTTGATATACTATAAACTAAAATATTGTGTCTTAATCACTTCGCCAAAGTCTCAAGTTTAAGGGACTTTGAACTAGAATGTCTTGGGCTAGACTCAAAGAATCTGATCCATCAACTCTCTAAACATGTAAATAATATGGGTGATATAGGTCATACCCCAAAATTTACCCCCTAGATCCCATCATCATTTAGTTGCATCATGTGCATAGCATCAAAAAGGCAGGTGGTTATCAGTCAAGGCTTGTGGTGTATATCAACACCTTAACTATCTCACTCATGGATCAAGTTTCTCCTCCATCAATAATCAAAGTTTGAGGTGGCATTAAGTCAAGATCATCAAGCCTCGATTCCCCAAGTACACCTGATTAGGGTTTTGGTCAAAGTCAATTGAATATTGACTTTTGGACCAAAGCATGATCCCATACTTAGGAACATGATTCAAGACTCTCAAATACATCTTTGAAGTCCTTTCATATGATTTAAATAGCTCAAGATGTTTGATTCATTGACAATTGCAAGATTTGGATTCATGTGATACAAAGTCAACCTGATCAAAGTCAAAGTTTGACTTTTTACTTTTTAAGTCAAACATGTCCTCCTCAAGTCAATAATCATGAAAATATGAAAGATAAGTGAATTGGATCATGATTAATCAAGAAAATCAAGAAAAAGATTCAAAGTTGCAAAATTAGGGTTTTGGATTTTTTTTAAGTTATGAAAATACATGATCAAGTGACCAACTCTCCAAGATCATAACTTCTTCCTCAAGCATCTAATGAAAACACTTGAGGACTTCTCTTAAAGATGACATTTGATACTTCAATTTGATGAAAATTACAAGCCTAAAGCTTTCTTGGAATGGAAGTTATTAATGTTCAAAGTTAAGATTTATTTTCAACTTGCTGAAAATCCCAACACTTAGAAAATTTCCTAAGTTTTTCACCTTAACAAGTGCATGACTTTAGGGCCACTTTATGATCAATTCAAGCAACCACTTTTCATGCCCAAGGTATGCATTTAAAGATGACATTACCTACTTCAATCTTGTGGAAGAATTGGAATAATAACTCATAAAGGTTGAAAGTTAAGAAGGATTAAAGTTAAAATTTCCAAGTTGTGAAAAATTGCCAAGTGCTTAGAATTTTTTCTAAGTGTCAAATAGTTGAAAATCTAAATTTGATGGCTAGTTTTCTCAATGATCCAAATTGAATTTCTTCAAGTGATCAACATCAAAGTTGTAGTATGTGATGTCTTATTTCCAATGGTACTAAGAGCATGAATTTCTTTTGCTTGAGCATGAAGTTACAAAATTGGGAAGAAGCCACGTCAATGCTGATTTTCCAAAACAAAATTGCATCAAATTGGATGTGCACGTTTTGGAGACATCTTTTGGCCACTTTTAAAACTTCTTTTCATCATGAGATCAACTTAAAACTTCTCCATTGTCATGAAATATCCAAGTAGGTGGCAAATTCAGCAAAGATTGATCTTATTTCATAGTGCAAAGCTTTGGTCCAACATTCTAAGATGGTTTGATTTTGGCTAATACATGATTAAGCACTTTAATCATGTTGACTTGTTGGCAAAGGCAAGAACATATCCTAACATTAGATGTAGTTGGCACACAATTTAGATCCACTTTTGTACCTTCTTGTCCACTTTTTTGGATTTCCTCCAAAGTTCATCATACCAAGCTATTATCCAATGCTCTTGCTTCAGATCATCTACACTATAAATAGAGACCTTGATTCCTCAGAAAACACACATAAAAACCTTTAGAAACTCAGAATTACCATTGCACCAATTCTCATATTTTCAAGTTTGTCAAGAAAACCAAAACTTGTGATCTTCAATTTCCTCCAACCAAAATCCATTCCAACACCACAAACACCTCACATAAACTTCATAGAAATGTTCCAAACCCTTAGAACACTTCTGTAACAACAAAATCACCATATCACTATCTCATCTTGTCCACTTTGCAATTTGATTTGGATAGAGAGTTCTAAAAGGTTTCAAGGCAGACCAGGCATTGCAACACATTCCTTGAGGTCCAAGGAAGTTGTAGGAGTCACCAAATTGTATCTGGAAGTGTTCTAAGGAAGAATCACAATTCCACTCCATTGAGGTAAGTTGGTATTTCTTGAACTCCATCTTTAAGGCATCATTTTGATGCATTCTTATTACCAATATGTGTGCCACAATGTGAGGATTGAAAGCCCTATGCTTGTGTTGATTGATCATGCTTATATGGAATTTAATTTGTGTTAGAAAAATTAGGGTTATGATGGTTTTCATGTGATTTCTTGAGTTGTGATAAAAATAAATGAAATTGAATGTTATAATTGAATTCCTTGCAAAATTCTGTGTAAAATAGCATATCAGTTTGTTTGATTTGGTTGAGGAAATAACATTTTGAATTCTAGATGATGATGATGAAGCTCGTGGAGAAGACAACAATGGTGACGCATTTTTTCCAGATTTAAAAAGCATTTTTAATATATTATTTTTCATGGTGGCTAGTTGACAAGGCGCACGCCTTGTCCCAATGGCCAAAGGGTTGGTTTTTGTGTGTGGAGAGTGAGGGAGGGGGTTCAAACCCCAGCTTCCCCTTTTTTTCCTCTTCTTCATTTTCACTTCATTCTCTCCCTTTTTCCTCATTTTTTATTATTTCTTTTTCATTTTATTTATTTATTTATTTAATTCTTTTTCTTCTTTTATTTAAAAAACCAAAAATCATTTATTTATTGTAATATTTATTTTATTAAAAACCAAATATTATTCTCACACTTTATTTCTTATTTATTTTATTTTGATAATTAACTTTAATAATTTCAAGGATTATATTATTTATTTATTTAATTATTAATATTAAAAAATCTATAAAACTTTCATATTTTATTCAAAATATATGTGATTATATTTTTATTTATTCATCAATTCTTTCACTACTTTGATTGATTTTTATTTTCTTCATTTATTCTTTAACTATTTAATTAATATACTTAGCTTAATCACACAATTAATTGTAAATAGTTTTGTTTTGTTCATAACTTGTGAATGCTTTTTATTAAAACATGATATTTGTTCAATCCATGTATGATGTGAAATTGTAAATGTTTGATCACTTTAGTTTAAAATTAAAATATTGGAGTGATGAATGACATGTATGAGGATTAAATGCTTTGTTGCCCTAATTTTTTTAAGAGACATGTTTGACTTTCTTACCATGTTTAAATCAACCTTGTGAGATAAATCTTTGTGATGAACATGAACCTAATGCATGTTATACCATGAGTGTGAAGTCTTGAACCATGATTGTTAATATGCCATCAACTAGATGTTGTCTCATCCTTGTGAATGTATGTGTGTCTCCCTTTTGTGCTTAACATGTTTGTTTCCCCATGACTTTGTCAAGTCATCCTTAGATGTTGTTTTCATCTATATAACTTGTGGACTCTTGATTCACTTTGGTTGATTATTGTCATACCTCTCCCTTATGACTTTGTCAAGTCACCCTTAGATGATGTTTCATCTATGTAGCTTACAAGCTCTTTGTTACCTTAAATTGATCTTTATCATAAACATTTTCCCCATGAATTTGTCAAGTCATTCCACCCTAACCTAACTTTAGGGTAGAAGTTATAACTTCTTTGATTTATAAATCATGTATGAGTAGAAGGTATTGTCATAACCCCAACCTCTCATCGAACCCTAACCTTCATCAAGATTACCAGCCTCTCATAAAACCCTAATCTTCATCAAGATTACCAACCTATCATCAAAGCGTAATTTTCATCAAGATCATGAACCTTCTATAAAACCTTAACATCAAGATCATGAAATTTTCTTCAAATCTCAATTTGTATCCTGAACATCAAACAACTTAATCCAAACTCAAACCCTACAAATTTGAACCATTCATAAGCAAATATGATTGTTAATATGCCATCAACTAGATGTTGTCTCATCCTTGTGAATGTATGTGTGTCTCCCTTTTGTGCTTAACATGTTTGTTTCCCCATGACTTTGTCAAGTCATCCTTAGATGTTGTTTTCATCTATATAAATTGTGGACTCTTGATTCACTTTGGTTGATTATTGTCATACATCTCCCTTATGACTTTGTCAAGTCACCCTTAGATGATGTTTCATCTATGTAGCTTACAAGCTCTTTGTTACCTTAAATTGATCTTTATCATAAACATTTTCCCCATGACTTTGTCAAGTCATTCCACCCTAACCTAACTTTAGGGTAGAAGTTATAACTTCTTTGATTTATAAATCATGTATGAGTAGAAGGTATTGTCATAACCCCAACCTCTCATCGAACCCTAACCTTCATCAAGATTACCAGCCTATCATAAAACCCTAATCTTCATCAAGATTACCAACCTATCATCAAACCGTAATTTTCATCAAGATCATGAACCTTCCATAAAACCTTAACATCAAGATCATGAAATTTTCTTCAAATCTCAATTTGTAACCTGAACATCAAACAACTTAATCCAAACTCAAACCCTACAAATTTGAACCATTCATAAGCAAATATGATTGTTAATATGCCATCAACTAGATGTTGTCTCATCCTTGTGAATGTATGTGTGTCTCCCTTTTGTGCTTAACATGTTTGTTTCCCCATGACTTTGTCAAGTCATCCTTAGATGTTGTTTTCATCTATATAACTTGTGG